CTCCCTCTAGTGTGTTTGATATAATAATCAAAATGCGATTGACTGTACATACAGTAGACCTGATACTTCTCCTGCACTGACAGCACGTGGATAAATAAGGAATTCCATCTCCTATAAACATATATACACCCCATTTCTTTTGTTAAAGCAAGCAATAGTGGAGGCTGAATTTATTCTTGATCAACTCTGAAAGATATTTGGACCCAACCTCTCTACATGCGTCAGGATTTCTTCCACAGACTGATAACTTTGTGTCTGCACGTTTTAGACAGCGAGGCTCTAAAGCGTCTGGGTTTTGTAGATTGGCTGACACTGTCTGGACGCTGGATTGTGTGTAAATGGCCACTCATCATCAGAAATCTGCACTGAAAGCTGCGGTCTGCCCACCATCAGCTGTTATCTCGGATGGTGCTAATTGTCTGCAGCTTCCCTTTTTTTTTGCTCTTTAAATGTTTGGCACTTGGTCCCTTTATTCCCTGCGGTAGTTTATACAGGCTCGCGGTGCTGTAATACGGGACCGTAAACTGCTTTGGGTTTCATGCAGAGAGCCATAAATATGCAAATCTTTTCAAACCTTTCCAGAGGCTGAACCAGTAACGTGTAAATTTTCGGTTTCATGGATCTTCACTTCGCCACAGTTTATATAAATTCCCATTCATGATCTTGTGGACCTTTTGGGAGATTTCGTTGCTAAATACACGATTTCCTTCTTTGCCAGTTTGAAAGAATTTTGTGTCAAAGGAGGTGTTAGTCCCGCAGGGCTGATCTCTGGACAGGATGCTCTTTTGTGCGCCTTTAAGCTTTGACCCCCTAAAGAAAAGCCCACACAGGACTAAGTAAATCAATTAAACTTGGAATCAGATTAGGGTTTCATTAGAGGAGCATCTGTCTAAATGAAGATTAAACAGCTCCAATGGACGCAGTGTAAAAATGGAAGGCTCGGACAAGGCTTATCTGTAATGCGGATGTATCTGCTTAGTTTGTTTACTTACCCAAAGACAAAGCGTAAAAGTGTGTCAGCCGGTCGGCAGTGCGGGCTTAAACTTTAATTACCTTAAAAATAAATATCCAAAAGTGTAAAACATTTGAATCGGCAGCTGGTTTCTGCAAGTGTCGGTTTTTACCACATCAGCGCGAACACAATAAAAGTGATGAAGCGCCTTTTGGCCTCATCAACAAACCGTTTGACGCCCGCAGTTCCCACAAGCAGCTCTCAGATCTATAAAATAAAACAGTGAAGACATTCAAAGTTTGTGTGGAGATGAGAAGTTTGTAGCCTGTAGTTTTTTTTCTCTTTTTTTTTTGTACGCTAATTTGGAGGCGAAGAAAACCTCAATATGTCGCATTTACTAATGAATCTAATAAACAAGAGAATCAGCTCCTGCTTGACCTAAACTGATTTTGCAAATTATTTTATTTTTTACAAAATGTTTATGGTTCTATCTGTGGACACGTGTCGGCCACTTTTCCATCTGCAGGCTGGATGTTGTAAAAGCACCTCAGTGTTAATGGTGCTCTTGCCACCCACGAGCCGCTATCGGTGACCGGCTCGTGCAAGAAAACACCTTGGTGACGCAGTGTTGTCACCGCACGTCGGTGTGAGGTTATCTGTAGTCCAAATTCACAGAGGTCACACTAGGTATAAATGAAATGTTCTGGTAAGCGTGTGTTTCTGAGTCTCTGTTACTCCAATCCATTATCCAAAACTAGACACTGAAATGTAAACCTGTGCGTAATTACGCGCTTATCTGAGTAGAGCTGCCCTCACCGCTCTGGTGGAGGATTCATCCAGACAAGATTTCATTCAGTTAATTCCACCACAGAAATCTGCAATCTCTGTGAAACTTGACTTCATTAGATACTTGCCACATCCCCACAGCAGCAGAAACGATGACAGTTTCTTTGAATTGAACGTCACGTGTGCGTAAATGCGCACAAACACACATAAGCTGAGATTTTTAAACGTTCATGGTGGAACGGGATCTCTGCTGAAATGTGAATAAAACATTTAAAAAAAACACCCAGCTCAAAAGTAATTTCGCTGCATGTAAAACATCTACTGGCTTAATGTGTCCCAGCATATTCTCCCATGCCCCCACGACGCTCCACGTTAACGTCGTCTCTGTTACATTAGATGAGAGGAGCAGAAATGTGCAGAAATCTGATCTGAATATTCAAGGAGGTGAATCAGTGGCTTCTGTGACCTGAAGAACGGAGCCAAAGACACGCGTAGAGTTTGGAGGGGGTGTCAGGCATTTACAGTTTCCTTAAACACACACACACACAGAGGAGAATAAGACATATCTGGTGTGTACTGGGGAGTCCAGCCTTTACAGCTCTAACCGTCAGATCAGATCAATCTGTAAAGATTCACATGGAACCTTAAGTTCATGGTGATTTCTCAGTTAGTTTGGGAGACGCTCCGTAAGTTTTCAGCCTTTAAAGCATTAGAGACCTTTTGATTATTCGTGCAGCTGAAACCCTCCGCTGGTGGTAGAAGTGAACAAAGCTGCACCGCTGAGCTTTTTTACTGCTGGGAGCTGCTGGGCGGGTCAGAGACTGGACAACATCTGCTCCGGTGGCAACAGGCCGCCCAACTAATTAATGCAAACGTTCAGCAGAACCAAGTGGAGGCGGTGATGGGATCCTGAAACATTTGGAGGTTTCAGTCCAGCCTAATGATCTTTAACCTGATAACTGCAGCGTTTTCAAGTCATTAGTTATAAGTACACTCTGAAAACACAGTCTGGACCCAACAACACCAAAGTTTCTGAGTTAAATCAGCTTCTAATGAAGTTATGTAACAAACAAACTGCTTTATGTTTTCCCTTAAATCTAAGGTACATCTTTAATCACCACTTGCTTTAAAGTTAAATACTCACAAAATGAATGAAGTTGTTCCCACTAGTATCCCCACGTTATCTGAAAGAAATTAAGTGTTATTTACTTAAATACAAAGTAATGACCAAAAGTTTTTAAGTCCACAAATTTAAAAGATGAGTTTGCTCCTGTGTCTAGTAGCAAAGGACTAAAACTTTTGATGTCAAGATGAAGAAAAACATAATTATCAAGTCAATTTCATGGAGTTACCTCAACTTGCGTTAAGTTTTAAATCAATTAATGTAGAAATTTAAGTTCAAATAGCACACAGTGACAGCTTACAGCTTCAAGTCTTTCGTACAGGGATGGCATTTTGTAAGTCTCGA